GACTCCCCAGAAGCTGTTTTCCTTTGGGTCCGGCGATGCAGTCGAGACTTGAGATTCAGGGGAGGCCAAACGTACCCCAGAACAGGCGTGCCCTGGAGAGGGGGGTCTCGGGGCCCACCTCGGGGCGCCCAACGGCTGCGTTTTGGCGTCCGCCGTGGCTGGATCCGTGGCCAAGAGTTTTTCACAATGTAACGGGATGGAGGAAGAGGAGGAGGAGGAGGAGGAGGAGGAGGAGGAGGAGGACCATTGTAAACCCAAGACTTATCAACGATGTTGGGATACACCCTCCCTTCAAGCTCCCTCTTCATGGGCACCTACAAGGATTCATTTCCACTGAGATAAGTGGCCCTTTGGCGGACAAATATCTGACAATTCAGAAGCATGCCCAAATTCCATTCTCATGGCTTCAACGCCACGACACAACCTGTGCGTCTTAACGATCCTGAATCGTGCCAGAACACCGTTCCTGAGAGATCAACACCGCGAATCAAGCTGAGTGTTGCGCCCTGACACTCCTGAATCGCTCAAAGCCGCAATTACTGGTACGTTAACCTTGAGAACCAGTGAAACTCTTGAAACATGCGAAAACGAATATGCGCGGCGCTGAGGCGAGGACCACATTTCGAAAAGGAACCGCCGCACTCCGTGAAGCTCGTGCACATGTTTGAGACGAGTGATCGCGGCTTGAAAGCGGGAGCCACATTTTGAAAAAGCGCCGCCATCAATCCATGCCACTCTTGCATTTTTAACGAATGTGCGTGGCGCTTGGGCGAGAGCCACATTTAGAAATTACTCCGCCCTGAATTCGTGCAATTTCTTGCAGATTGTTGAGACAAGTTCGCGCGGCGCTGAGGTGAGAGCCACATTTTGGAAACGACCCGCCCTAAATTTGTGAAGCCCTTGCACATGTAAAAAAACGGATGTGCGCGGCGCTACGGCGAGAACCATGTTAAAAAAACACCCGTCTTCGATCCGTGAAGCTCCTGTGAATTTTTGAGACGAGTCTGGGCTGCGCTAAGGCGAGAGCCGCATGTGGGAAGCGACCCGCCCTTCATCAGTGAAACTGTTGTCAGTTTCTAAGCTTGAGGCTCATAAGTGATAAGGACGTCTAAGGCGAAACGCCTGGCCCGCCTTTCCGACCAGCTAGCCTTGGGGTGCGACAGGGAGGAGTTGTTCAGAAGGAAAACAAGGAATGGAGGAGGAGGAGGAGGCGGAGGAGGAGGAGGAGGAGGAGGAAGAGGAGGAGGAGGAGGAGGAGGAGGAGGGAAGGAGAAGGAGGAGGAGGAGGAGGGGGAGAGGAGGGAGGAGGAGGAGGAGGAGGAGAGAGGAGGAGAAGGAGGAGTAGGATGAGGAGGAGCAGAAAAGGAGGAGGAGCAGGGGAAGGCAGAGGAGGATGAGGAGGAGGAGGACGAGGAGGAGGAGGAGGATGAGAGGAGGAGAGAGTAAGAGGAGGAGTAAGAGGAGGAGGAGGAGGAGGAGGAGGAGGAGGAGGAGGAGGAGGAGGATGAGGATGAGGAGGAGGAGGATTTTTCCCTCGAGGGCCCCTGGGCAGAACATCACCACGCGGCCTCAGGCCGATCCTGCTGCATGAGATGCCTCCTCTCTCAGCCGAATCCTCTCCGCAAGGGCCGACATTCCAGGAGTCGAAATCAGGCCCGAGCGAGAGGAGGAGGAGGAGGACAGGCCAGGGTCGGCTGCCTTGAGCAGGACATACTTGGCCGAGGCACGACAGGTGGTGCCAACACTTGCAGCAACAGTGCCCCGAGACCTGTAATGGGGCGGGAGACCTCGACGGATGCGTGACAAAGCGCATCGCCCGCTAGGGCCAGGTGGTCCGCACATCCCGCCGAGGAGATAGCACCGCTTGCTGGTGAAGGCACCACAGCGGAAACAGAACACAGTCGGGGCGCACTCGTCATCCTGCACAACAGTCGTGCACAGGAGGTGGCCGCGCTCGCTCTCAGCGCCCTGCAACTTACGTAGCGCCGTGGGGAGACCCTTGCACCCGTCCATGGGTCTGGAGTCTCCGATGACCGTCTTGAAACATTTCGAGCACCTGGGGAGCGACGGGATTTCCTCATCCCCAGGGTCCAGAACGAGCCAGTCGTGCCACTCGATGGCACGAAGGGTCCGAGCTTTCACCCTAGGAGCCGTGGGGTCCCGTTGAAACTGGAGTTTCGGAAAAAGCGACAAAACTGCACCGAACATGGCCACCAGCTTACGTAGGAGGGCCACGTCCTTGTCTAATTGCTCCAGCTCCTCGCCTAGCAGCGATGGGTGCAGAGACAGATCATACTTAGCCAGACGGTCCGCATCCTGATTCCCAAGAGCGATCTTGCGTTCCTGGGCGGGAAGAGCGGCTATCACCTCGTCCGACCGATGTGCTGGCGTGTGGGCAAAGGAAGCAATGCAACGTTGGCCTGACTCCTGGAGGGCACGCCTCCGAAGCCCAGCGAAAACATGGCCTGGGTCCAACTGTACGGACGGGCGCGCATTAGCCAGGTGAACGACTCCCAGGCAGTCCGAGTGGGCCTCACTAAGGCCTGTAGCCACACAGGAGAGAGTGACAGCCCCGAGGTGTTCTCCCGACTGGGCCGTCTGGGGAAGGCCAGGCCAAACCGTTCCAAGAAGTCGAGCGCGAACCTCATACGGGGTCTCGCTCGACGAGTCGAAGAAAACGGCCGCATACGTGGCCCGATTCAGATCGCGAAACACAAACTGAGTAGCCGAGCCGTCAACAACGATACGGGTGTTGACAGTTCGCTCACAAAACTCTTCGACCGATAGTGGCTCGCCTGACGGCCCTTGGCGCAGGGGATCAAGCTCGAGGCAAGGAGGAGGAGCCTCAGGCTGAACCACCATGAGCCGAGACCACAACAGCAGTCTTTCAGGCGAGCAGTTGCGTGCCGCTAGTATCTCCTCGTCTGAGAGATGCTCACGGCGTGCTGCTTCGACGGTCGGATCCGAGCAAACGAACTGCCTGTGGACTATGGAGTCGGGCTCCCCGCAGAGGGGGCACAACCTATCCGAAACGTACCCCGAGGATTTCAGCCGATCCGCAGTCCAACAGGCCCCAGAGAAACACGAGGAAAGCCAATACTTCTGCCGACCGTCGAGCTTCTTTGAGCGCAACATTCGTCTCAGGGGGTCGGGTGAGACGCGGGAAAAAGTGAACATCGGAGTTGCCTGGGCCATCCTACGCTCGTGCATCCTCTGGACTCCCTCCTCAAGCAGCTTATTGAGGAGGGCAGGCGAGGTGTACATCAGGTCAATGACATAACCTCGCTCGTCGTGCCACACTGAGAAGCCTACCGCTTTCCAGCCAATCCTGTGCAGACATAAGAGCATTCTATGGATGGGACCTTTCGATTTTTTCCAGCCCGTGGGTTCCAGATCAAGCTCCTGGCCCTCGACAACATCCCTCCATATCTGTATGTGCTGCCGAAAGGAGAAAGGGGAAGTGGAAAGTGTGGTAATCGATCTCCAGAGACTGATTGCCCACTGGTGGGCTGGTGCCACCGACTGTTTCCACGCGGGGTCGCCGTGCAAAACCAACTTGGCCGTCAACGAGGCCCCCCGATGTGCTGGACTTCTGCCTGCTAACAATACTCGCTGCAACGATTGAAGCTCTGCGTTCGACATGCCTAGCACCACTGCACCATATCCAGCGGCATGGCGCACTCCAGCGATGTAAATCTTCTGCATTCTCGATTTATCCCGAGGAAGTTTCCGACGATAGTGAGAAACCAGCCTGTGTCTTTTCCTCATCATCCTGAAACGTTCCTTCCTCTTACTCATACCTCCTTTGCATGTTCTCCGTTGACCTGGGGCCAGGTCCGTGCCCAGCGAGACGGCCGCGCTGGTCGCAGCCGAAGGACAGACAGCACGGAGACGACGGCACAGACGGTATGCGAGCCTCTGAGAAGAGGCGAAAGTGATGGCCTTGTCCTCCGCCAGGCGGACGTTCAGCCTGTGATCAAATACATTCTTGAGGTCAATCCCTGCACGTACTAGGTTGGCTACGATCATGTCTTCATCGCCGTAGGCCGCCACCGTGTCGTCGTCGACGTAAGACCCAAGGGAGACCTCAGGGTGCCTCTGAGACCACATGTCAAACTCAAACATCGCGTAAACCTTGACAAAAACGTCATTGAAGATATCCCCAGCTGGGAGCCCAGACTCCGCAAAAAAAAACCAGAGGTGAGTGATTAGCCCCCAGTCTCAGGATCCGAGGAGACCGCCAGAGGTTATAAAGAGTCTTGACGAGCACCATGGGGATCCTCCAGAAGATAGCCCTATCTCGGAGCCAGACCAGGATAAAGGACTCATAGTACTTCATGCCATCCCAAATGAAGCCTGCAGTGGCCTTACCGCTCGAAGAAGCCTGCTCCGAGAGGACACTCTGGTTCCAGATGGCCGCCTCCGAGTTTTGCCCTGAACCGAAGGACCAGTAGGGCCGATGGGCCCGCTCCAGGAAGTCGTCGCACTGGCGCCGACGTAGGCGTTCCCAGACACGGACGGGGGACCCCAAAAGCAATATGGGCCGTAGTCCTCCTTTCGGCTTCTCCAAGAGAGGCATCAGCATCCACAGCAGCTGTGCTGGGAACAAACCTAGGCGTTCGATCGCCTCGTAGAGCATCGCAAGGACCTCCAACCCAAGGTCACTCAAGCAGGCGAAGTGCCCGGGGTGGTAGCCGTCCAGCGACTGCGAGGTGTGGCGGCTAAAAGAGCGCGATGCTGCTCGTATCTCCGACGGGCTCGCGCGAGGGAAACAATCTCGATTCGGTATCCAGGCCGAAGGAGGAGATGTCCTAGCATTCCAGAAATCGCCTAACTTGATGGTCTCGGAGGCCAGGAGGCTCTGAGGGTCTGCGGTGAAGATCCCTGGGGAGCGCTCGACAATAGTGGGCTGCCACTTCCTCTGGACCTTCGTGAACCTATGCATGAGCCTCGCGGATCCCGCTAAAGACTTAGCTTGCCAAGAGTCCCAAGATTCGCGT